ATTAAGAAAAATGATATGTTGCGTAGTGACAATAGCCGAACTAAGGTTATAATTGTTTAGGAAAAGAAAATTGGAGGTGGATAATTGAGATGGTAGTCGCGACCATGATACGCATTGCCGAGTCTGCCGGCAAGGTGACGAAGACACAGGAACCCGCCACGATCGTCAACAATCGTTGGTAGTCAGCATAAGGGAAGTACATTCATAGGGGATGAATTTGATGCGCCGAATAATATCCTAAATAAATTTATTACTAAAAGAAAAATATATTTCTTTGCCTGTGGCAAGACTACAGTGGTCGGCTGGTGTTAGAATGGGCATTGCATACCAATCTAACTTTCCCTTAAAGACTTCAACGGAAACGGACGTAACAACATCCACGGGCAGAGCGTTCTAAACTTCGACCCCTCTGTTATAAAAGAAGAACTTTCATGTGTCCAGCCTTGTCCCAGTTACATGTAGCTTGAATGGATGACCTCTCAATTTCATAGTTGTTGCTTAGTCGAAGAAATCACCAGAAGAAGGCAACAGTTCTGACCGCGCATAATACGAAAGGTTTGTAACAGGTCATCACGTAACTACCTGTGACTCAAAGGAAATAGATCAAGATTGGAAAAACGTGTTTCAGTGGGTAATGTGTCCTGTCCGGTGGCAAGTTTTTTGCACGCCTAAATAAAAATAAATAAATACATTTTATATTTTAGGCCCGGAGGGCCTCGTCATTGTCTTTGAACATTTTCTAGGAGATTGAGGTTTTTCGCGTTCGATGGTCTCCATACTTGGATAGCAAACTTCAGTTTTGGCCACATACAATTTCCAAAGACATAAGCGAAACAGTCTTCATAAAAGAAAAGGAAAGCCCGTTTGACAAGGTACAGGGCGGATATCGCATACTTGGCTACTTTTGCACAGTGCAGCGAGGCCTTAAGTAATGCCGTGATCCACATTTCCGAGACTTCTGCGCGTCCATTTCCTTAAATGGATGAAATTTATGCAGTAAACCATAAGATTCTGAGAGTTGGGTCAGCAAACTCGTAGGATACTGCAATGTTTCTCATTAAACGGCAAGAGCCCGTCCTTCGACCAAGTTTGAAGTCAATTTGCGTTCGCCTACAAATGATTTTTGTTAGCTGCATTCCTGATATCGCTCCAACTCTTAATATCATAAACAAACATAGCGACATCAAAATGCAGTTCACAGACACAGTCTTTGACGTAAATAATGAGCAGCGCAGGACCATGAACAGAGCCTTGGGGAACACCGCTCTCAACCATAACCTTCGTCGACTGGTGGTCACCGACATGGAAAGTTTGAGAACGGCCAACTAGGAAGCCTCGAATCCACTTCAAGAGATTTCCTCTCACACCAATTTGGCTGAGTTTGTGTAGAAGTCTTTGATGTGGAACACTGCCGAATGCCTTCTTGAAGTCTATATAGACTACATGGAGCGCATTTCCTCTATCAACTGACCGGGTCCAACGTTCCAAAAAACATAGCAAGTTCGTCATGTAGGACGTAATTGCCATCCAGTAAACTCAGTAGAATTTTAGTTCTTTTGGCGGGAAGCGATTCTGTGACACAAAGTCGGGAAATCAATTCACTGGATTGACGACTTATGCCTACATTATAATGTAGCTCAGAGGTACTGACCTCTGAATATAGTCTAATGGAACGCTTTTTCAGGGGGCGCACCAAAAGCTTTGGATAAAACGCTATTAAAGTAGGCTTCCAATTGCTTTGAAGGTTCGTTTCTTAATTTTATTGAGAGCTGTTTTGTCAGTAACGTGTGATAAAAATCCTACGGAATATTGCGATTAGTAAAAATTGGAGGCACTTTTCAGTATCTACTCCTTATATTAATACAGCTAGATACGTAGGAAAGGAACACTCACAAAAACATGGAAGAATG